AAACGAGTGTGCATTATGTTGCTTATTACTTGTTGCTTAGAAAATAATCAAGAAAGTAATAAATAAGAAACATTTATTTGAGTCAGAATTATTTTATGAGGACAGCTATGTCAGAAAATAAGTTGCCTAACACTATAGTCAGTTACACAGTTTAGTGCCTGGTAGCTAAGAAATAATTGACGAAGGGTATAAAATGCTCACACTAAAAAATGGCATGCAAGGACAAGACCTGACACTGAACACTGCAAACACATGTGCATATATTTACACTAATCACTAATAAAGACTATTCAAGGTAACATGACAGGTGAAATCAGGGAGTGACATGTTATGGATGGTTTGATCTAAAAAATACTTTTGTGGGGAAAGTGATTCCTTTTGCTACAATTGTCTTTCTGTAGTTTGTCTGTGTTGGCGGAAGTCCCAATCGGATGAGATCTTTTGCCCAGTTTATCCATGAGCAGCTGGAGCTGCCCGGCAACATTGCAGACATCAGAGATATCTGTGAGGGAACAGACCGGTATTCAATGTATAAAGTGGGACCTGTGCTGTCCATTAGCGTGAGTATCTCAAATATGGATGAGGCTTGTGTTTAAATTCGTTCATTCATCATACATGCCTGTTAATTGATCTGAACATTGTGTATGAAGATCACGTGATGTGGGAGTATGTAAAATTCGCACTGAATATGAATCTTACCAATTCAGTAATATTGCTAATAGTGCTAAAAGTGCTAATGCACAATGAGGTGGGGAAAATGATTAGAGGTGTTTAAGACAAGCTGCAAGTTGTGCTTGTACTTCAAATCATGCCACTTACTTTTCTATTGTTACTTTAGCAACTAGCATCACTTTTTTCATCAGCATCATAACTTATGGATTTTTCGATGTCTCTGACAGCATGGCATGGGCGTTCCCTCAATCTCCATCATGTTGCATGAGCTCATTAAATTGCTCTATCATGCTCGTTGTCGTGATGTCATCATCTTTCGCATTGGCACGTCAGGCGGCGTTGGTGAGAACTTCCTGCTTTATTGTATGATTGAATTATGAAGTGCAAATACATCACCCACGTGATTCCAACTTTAATGGCAATTGTGGAGACTCAAACAGTAATCAGTCAATAATTCAAACTCTGAAGCATTATATATTACAGCTTAATACTGCTGGATGGTGAGGACATGAAGTGTATGGGCTTGCTGCCCTATTCTCTCAGAAAAAAAATGAATTTTGCCTTTTCTTTGAACACACAGGTCTGCCTGCAGGTACCGTAGTGATCACAGATAAAGCTGTAGACTCGTTCTTCAGGCCACAGTTTGAGCAGGTGGTTTTGGGAAAGGTAATCATCAGGAGCACAGAGCTAGATGAGGATGTGGCCCGAGAGCTGCTGCAGTATTCCTCAGAGCTTCCAGATATTCCCACTGTTATCGGAAACACAATGTGCACGCATGACTTCTATGAAGGTACAGTAATTGTTTTCTGTTTTATTTTGTTGTTGTTGTTGTTTTTGGCCCATACTGGGTCTGGTCATACTAAACCAGAGGCATTCCCGCAGATCGAACAGTAGAGCATGTTGCTAGTGATATGAGCATCATGGGTTTGATTCCCAGTGATTGCATAAACTGGTCAAATGTGTACCTTCAATGCAATGTACGTCAATTTAAAAATGTCAAATGCATAAACATTAGAATTTGTTTATAAAACCGATAGTTGTGGTCTTGGATGTTGATTGGTCAATACAGTGCTCCAGTTGTGTTAAAATATAATATAATATAATATAGTGTAGCTGTGTTACATAGTATATACTATATAACTGTAGCATTGCCGTACAATCTGTTCACCAGCTATTGTGTGCGCCAGTGTGGAGTAACTCTAAAAGGCCAAATATTAACCTTAGTTTACATGTCAGACTTGCCTAACAATAGCTGACTGTATTTACATCATGGCCTCTTACACCTTATTAATCACAAGCATTCTTTTGAAGACTGCACGCTAAAACTTCTTTTTTCCTGGTGTAGGTCAAGGGCGACTGGACGGAGCCCTGTGCTCATTTTCCACTGAAGAAAAATTGGAATATCTGAGAAAAGCCAGTGAAGCAGGTGTCAGGAACATTGAGATGGAATCCACTGTCTTTGCTGCCATGTGTCGTGTCTGCAATCTTAAAGGTAGTTAAGAAGTTTGCATTGTTTGTTGTCCTCATCACCACTATAACTGTTAACAGAGGAGCGTTTTTTAAAATTGTATTATTATTATTATTTGAGGGAGCACCATAATAGATGTATAAGGACTACATGTCACTGGTTTTCAACCAAGTTATGCCAAGCTTTAGAGATTTCTGAGCACTGCATGTAATTTTTAGAGCTTTTTAAAAGGCAACGGTTTTCAATTAATAACTTAAATTGGAGTATGTTCCTGACACAAACAATTATAACTTTTTATCTTGTGTGAACTAACCCTTCAATCATGTGTATAGTCATTCTGCTTGAAGGAGGTATGAGGCTTATAAACAGTACTGCGTAGCATGTTATAACCTCAAAACTACTTCAAGTAATACTTAATTATCATGCCATTGACCACTTAATGGTGTCATCGTTTTATTCGTTTTTATTTATATTTTTGCAGCTGCAGTAGTGTGTGTGACTCTGCTGAACCGGTTTGAGGGGGATCAAATTTCTACACCTCACGATGTTCTCCTGGAATATCAGCAGAGACCGCAGTGCCTTGTGGCTCATTTCATCAAGAAACGCCTTGGACTTAACTCATAAAATCCTGTAATGATCTACAGTGTATATAATACTGTTCATAGTGTGTTTGTGTTATTTAAAGGTGACTTTCACATTCTCACACCATCCTCAGTGTACTTCCTTATATATCAACTCTAATGAACTGAACACACCTCACTTTTACTAGTTACTAGTACTAGTACTGAAACAGTTTGTGTGTATTTTAACTTGTAAATCAAATATATATATTTTAAATTGTATGTATGGTGAGTTTTCACACTGGCCTTTTACACTGTACCTTTACAAATAAATGATTTTTTTTTTTATCCTAAGCATTCATTTTGTAGTAACATGATTGTTGAGGGTAGCTTTGGTGTCTAAGTAGAAATAAACTAATCTAAATAAAGTATATGTTAAGTTCATGAAATGAGTCATGTGTCACACTCGGGACAAGGAGGCAAACAGGCAGAGTAATTCAAAGGATTAGGGTTTATTAAACACAACGGAGAAAATGCTTCCAACAGAAAGGAATCAAATTAGGATATCTGGAAGCTGAGAACACAGTCTTATCTGTAGTAGAGTACAAGTTCCATGGTCGATAGCAGAGGAATCCTAGGCTTTAGGCAGGCAGGCAGGAGGAACCAGAGTTGAGAGGCTTGTAACCTCGAGACCAGTCGATGAGTGAATGCGGTGAGTGAGTATTTGAGTGGTGTGGTAAGTGGGTGCAGGTGTCCGTGATCAGTAATCAGGTGATTGTGAGCGGGTGTAGGAGGTTGATTCGGCTGGTGAGGCAGGTTTTTCCGTGACATTACCCCCCCCCCCAGTAACTCATACAGGTTTGGAACAATTTGAGGGTGAGTAAATGATGACAGAATGTTTGGGTAAACTGTTCCTTTAAAAGTGTTGCTATGTTTCTTTAGAATAAATTCACTTTGTTCGCCTTGTTGTATAATACCAGGCACGTGCACAGGTAGGGCTCCACCTGTGCAGAGCACATGCCCTTTTTTGTCCTTACGCTCCGAAGTGCCCTTTTTTTTTTTTTCTTCTTCTTCAATAAATCCAATGCTATTGGTCACCCTTTACGTCTGTCTGTCTGTTTTACAAATATATTTAGCGAATGAAAGGTATTCAAAAGAGTTACCTTGGCTAAATCTTGTTGGAGCCACTCAAACTGTCAGTCAAACCTCATAACTCCCAACACACAACCTCATCAACACCCCGTCTTGACTGAGTGCAGTGAACTGAAGTTCCACAGCAGAGCAGCTGAACGTCTTGCAAGGGTAAATAAATATCTTCTTGTTTGTATAAGTACAGCGTTGTCTTTACGCAAGAAACACTAGTATGTCTACTGTATAAAGGCTCATGTTTTATGCATTTGAGGTCTGAGACCGGACCTGCGGAGAGAGGGCATTTGCCATCTAAATTAGTCATAGCCAATAGCCTACACTTAAATAGCCTGTGCATACAGTAGCATTTCATCTTTTATAAAATGACATTTTGGCCAAACGTATTTTACAACAGGAAAAACTGAGCCCATATAGCTACAACAAACTTTGTAACCTGTTGATCAAAACGTAATGTGATGCTGCCGTTTTAATGATGGACAAATTGCACATTTGCACACATATTCGCTGGTCAAAAACCCGGCCATAACTGCATTTGAGTTTGATACAAAACGACTGAGTGTTCCTCGTCAGCTAGGTAAAATATATTTCTAAGAAAATTCTTCTTTGATTTATGGTAGCTATCTGCTGATACACTTAATTTATTAACAATTAATCATATTATATATTGTCACACTCACAGCATGGTTAATGTTTACGATGTTAATATGCATGTATTTGCTAGCTAGCTAATTTTTGAATGTAGTATTCTATCTCTCCGCTTATCATTAATATGTGACCAGTAAAAAAAGGGGGGGTGCCCTTTTTCAGTTTCAGCACATGCCCCTCAAAAGGTCTGTGCACGGCCCTGCTGCTAATACAGTATAACAAACTCAAAGCAACTGATTATTCTGGAAATGCTGGATTCTGTGTCTCAAGAGGTTTCGAATGGCTTAGAACTTTGTACTGCAGTTCATAAACCTCATGCAGCTTTTTATAACAGTGTTGTGGGTCATAGTCTCACTTCTTACCACAAAATGTTTTTTTTAACAAATCTGAATCTGAGGCCTGTCAATAACACTGTCAAAAAAAACACTAAAGCCTACTTTCCTGTCTGCCATATACTGTCCTATAAAAAAGCCAAAAATATAAGCCCAAAATGGTTACGTCTGTTTTCCTCAAGCACGCTGGTCATATCATGAAGAATGAAATATTCCTTAATCTTCTGAGATCAAGACTTTGACGTATCAATCAATCAATCCTCCAAATATTGAATAAAGTGTCCAAGGGAATATGGTTAAAAATATGTAGACAGTAGACCTCAGGTAGACAAAGCATGACTCATATATATGAAAAGATGATTACATTCATATAATTATTGGTCAGGTTCTGAAGGCAGCGGACTCCATGTCTCGTCTGGGTGGCTTCAGAGGTTGGATCTCAGATAGAATCTGTCTTGCATAAGGGGTGTTATGGAGACCTGCGGTTCTGAGCACTTGTTCAATACGCACTCTGGGATCAGACACAATCTGAAAGCAAGACAAAATAATAAAAGAGACTCTTTTAATTATTCATAGCATTATCAGTCGATTACAGATCCATATAAGTCACCAAAATCTAAGTTCAAACACATCGGCCTTTAAAGTAAATGGATTCCTATAATAGTTCAGTGTTTTCTAGACTGTAATTCTGTAACCAGAGCAGCTGTTGACAGGTTGATCTGCTTTAACATGAACAAGGTTAAAGTCAGTAACTTATCTCTGTTTTATGTTTATTTACAGGATGTGCTGTTGAATCTCCATGTTATGAAACAAAAGTCTGGAAAAAAAGCTGTTTCACTGTTTGGCCTTGGCCAGTGACTCTGTAAACGTCAGAGTCCCAAAATGTCATCACAGGTTAACCATTATTATTGGCAGAAACAAATTGTCCCATGTACATGAGCAGACAATCAGAAGACAGGGTTGGGAAAATTTCAGAATTTAAGAATCGACTCTTTCAAATCATGAATTTGAAATTGAATTGGCCACTTCCCACAGGATGTTAAACTGGAATTACACTAAAATGACAGGAAGAGAAAAATGAAATTACAATTCAGTAAAATGTGGAATTTAATTAAACTAATTAAATCCTAGGTCTTCAACCCTGCTCCAGGGGACCCACTGTCCTGCAAATTTTATTTACAACCTACTTTAGCAAACCTGGCCTGTGATTTTTCACGTGATCCTGAAGGCTTTGTTTAACTGGTTCATGTGTGTTTGGTTAGGGTTTTAGCTTAACTCTGCAGGACAGTGGGTGTTCAAGAACAGGGTTGAAGGCCTATTAATTAAATGATTAATTATAATGAAAGACATATGAAATACAAATTATAGATGACATTTGAAATATTGATTTTTAATCTAATATTTCTAATGAAATAGCCCATATGTTGTGTGCAAGATATGTAATTCATACTGAAAACCAACAGGCATGCACATAATACTCAAGTAATACTGCCAAGTGGATGCTGCACACTGGCGGTGGTTGAGGAGAGACCCCCCCACATGATTGTAAAGCGATTTGGGTGTTCAGCAATACACAATAAAGCGCTATATAAATGCATCATTCATTCATTCATTCATTCATTTATAGTTGTGTTGACTGATAAAATGCTTCATGTGTGTTTGTGTGTTGGAAGGTGAATGGGTGAGTAGTATGGTATCTACAGTATGTGCTGTGTGTGTTACCTGTGTATCAGTGTATGTATTTAGCTGGTACAGTGGCCTTTGTAATGTAAACACTTCTTCAGGCTGTTGACGTACTCTCCACGCCACTGTGTTTCCCATCATCCTCTCTGGGTTGGCCTCAGCTACTTTAGAGACCTTAAAGCAAACAAATAAGCACAACTGTTTTTAATGCTTTAAATGATGTTTTACACCCTGATTCAGATCATTAGGTGGAATGTGTGTGTACCTGGTTCCGTAAAGCCTGCAATCTCTCCTCTCTCTCTTTATCGTACTTCTGTTTTTGTTTTTCTTCAGCTTCACGCATCTGCAGTTTCTGCTGAAACTGTTCTTTCCTGAAATTCACTCTATTCAACACATACAACCCATGACAGCGCTGAAACAATTATATATTTTCAATATTGTATAGTAATCATCAACACCATCATAATCATCATCTCCAACATTTTTTATGAAAACAAGGAAGACATTTATTTAATCATTTTTATTCATATGTACCCCATATAATACATAGTAAGAAATAATATTATTTGAATACTTTAATATTTTAAGTCATTGTAATATATGAAACAACCCATGCAGAAAGTTCCATTAACATTTTTGAGTGATGGCGCAATGGAGTTATATTAGACATTTGAATTGATTCACTGAAAAAGCCAATTTGAACTGACACACAACAATAAATAACTGAATATACCAGCTCTATCTACAATGTCAAATAAATGTTAAATCATACATTCCATCTACTCTTCCATCTACACTTGACCCTCTAAAACAAGCACTCTCTATTCTATTTCTATTCTATCTACTTGTTTTCTTTTTATTTATTAAAAAAATAAAATAAATAAAAATAAAAACCTTGACCCTCTAACACTAGCACTATCTATTCTCTTTCTATGCTATTTATAAAAAAAACTTGACCCTATAACTGTCAGAATTGTGTCTTTGATTGCGTTTTTGTTTATATTTCTTGGTTTCATGTTTTACCCTTTCAGTTAAGTCTTTATCACGCCCTAGTTAGTTCCCTTAATGACATGCAGGTGAACTAAATGAGTAACTAAGTTCCCTTGTTACCCCTGTGTATATATATTCCCTGTTCTGTTCAGTTGTCTGTGTTCGTCTGTCAGGGATTCTGCACCATCACAATCACTATCATCACCACAGTCACCAGCCCCGACGTACACCAGATCCCAGTCACCTGACTATTGATCACATGCACCTGCAGCCTGCAATCTGCACTCCTTTATAAGCACACTACACTCAGACACTCATCGTCCGGTCTACAGTTCACTTACCACACTTATTCATGCTACTAACCTGTCTGTACTTACCCTCAGATGCTCCAGCGCTCTTCCGATCCTGTTCTCTCTCTCCTTGATAGGGTAATCCTCCAGATTACCCTATCACAGACTCAACACCGGTTACCTCAGATAAGAACCCAGAACCATTCCACGTGTCAATACTCGCCATTCAAGCTGTTACTATCTGCAACTCATTCAATTAATTTACCTGTTATTCGCACTAATCCCTTGTCTCCGGCCTGTGTTGTGACGGAAGACCGGACCAACAACATTCACCTCCATGGATCCCCGGCACCCAACACCCGCTGACGTTCTGGAGGAACTAGTCAATACCCTACGGACTTCACTCACACCAGTCTCTGCACCGCCTGCTGCCTCTGTAAGTCCCATGGCCTTGCCTGCTTCATTCACGGGTGATGCAGCTGAGTGTGGTGGCTTCCTGCTACAAGTGGCTCTGTTCTTTGAGGTGCAACCTCTGAAATTCCCCACCGAACTCTCCAAGGTAGCTTTTCTCATTTCCCTATTAACTGGCAAAGCTCTGCTGTGGGCTCGTGCTATATGGAATGCCAATAATACCATAATCAACTCGTATGATGCTTTCACTAACCATTTTAAGGAGGTGTTTAGTTCAGCTGCTGGAGCATTGTCGGTGTCAGACCAGCTGCTGCAGCTGCGACAGGGCGCCTCCACCAAATGATGGCCCTGGCTATCATCATTTGGTGTAATCTCTCCTTCACTCAATTCTATCTGCCAAAGCTGTGATCACCTTCGTTTTTTTCCATAGGGCAGTGCTGCTTCCTTGTGAGAAGAGTGTGCCATTGCAGGCTTTAAAGAGGCGTACCTGCGTAGAGTTTCATAACTACCTTTTTTAAATTTGTGGTGCATTTCATGGACCTGCACCCAATCTATTAGGCTTTCCTATCAGTGGTAAAAATGTTATGAGTGAGTGTATCAACGTGGATCAACAGACATTAATCCAACATGATGGATTTTTGGTTAGCCAGCATTTTTCATGTCTTTTCCCCCCTCCATATGTCCTTTGGAAAATAGCTGGAATGCTTGTACTGGCAGATGGCAGCAGTGATATAAATATCTTACAAAAGGGCAGTGTGTGCGTGTGGAGATAGTGCCATGGTCAGTGGTCACCAAAAGTGGCATGAGTAACAATGCCCATAAAGCTGTTGCCATGGAAACAGAGGAGTGGGCTTCAAAACAATGATTGGATAGAAGGAACAGAAAGGTTTTGGAGCAAGGGGCTCTATTAACTATTAACCCTCAAACATACAGAGCTTTACCAGTCTCTGCATGTGAGTAGTGTCGCCCATGGCCAACTAATTGCTGATTTGAGATATTTTACTGGCATTTTCATGTATTTAGATGTGTCCATATTACTAAATTTAAAAGTAGTGAGCGATATTATATTTTGCCCGTGTGTCATTCTCAATGGAATCAGCCAGGAAAGAGTTAAGAAGTTGTTTACTATAATCCTAGCCTCCACCCTTGCGTGTATTACTTCAAAAAACTGTCCCCAGCGGAAGTCAACTATGACATTGGTAACCGAGAGCTATTGGCCATCAAATTAGCTCTCGAGGAGTGGCGACACTGGCTGGAGGGAGCTCAGCATCCTTTTATGGTCATCACTGACCACAAGAAACTCCAGTACCTGAGGAATGCAAAGAGACTTAACCCCCGTCAAGCCCGCTGCGCATTATTCTTCACACGGTTCAATTTCACCGTCACCTACCATCCAGGAAACCGCAATTGTAAAGCTGACGCCTTATCTCGCTTGTACTCTCCAGAATCATCCTCTGAACCTGAACCCATCATCCCTCCAGCCCTCATTGTGAGTCCCATCCAATAGAACCTCTCAGAGAACATCCGTGTCGCCACTCTCCATGAACCAGCTCCGCTGGGAGGCCCAGAAGGGAAGATCTATGTTCCCACGTCTCAACATCAACTCCTTCTGGGCTCTGGCCCAGTATGACCCGGGATGTCATCGGGTACGTCCGCAGCTGCTCAGTCTGTGCCGTGTCGAAGATGCCCCGTCACCTCCCTGTAGGCAAGCTCGTGCCACTGCCCATCCCACGTCGGCTATGGTCCCATCTTGGAACTGATTTTGTGACTGATCTCCCCAACTCTGATGGCAACACCTGTGTCTTAGCAGCAGTAGATTGCTTCTCAAATGCGTGCAAGTTCATTCCCCTCAAGGGACTCCCCACGGCCTTAGAAACAGCCGAATACCTGTTCAACCATGCATTCAGGAACTATGGTATTCCAGAAGAGATCGTCTCGGACCGGGGCCCCCAATTTATCTCTCACGTGTGGAAGGCCTTCTTCCGGCTTATGGGAGTCACTGTGAGCTTCTCCTCCGGCTACCATCCTCAGACTAACTGAGTAAGATTGAGTGTAAGATCCAGGAGCTCGGACGTTACCTCAAGTCATACTGCCATGACGACTAGCAGAGCTGGAGCCACTTCCTCCCTTGGGCCGAGTACGCCCAGAACTCTTTTCGCCAGGACACCACTGGGCTGACCCCTTTCCAATGCGTACTCGGTTTCCAACCCCCGCTCTTTCCCTAAATGGGTGAGCCCTCGGAGGTTCCAGCTGTGGACTACTGGTTCCAAGTGAGAGTGTGGGACTCAGCTCACATCCACCTCCAGCACGCTCTGCGGAGGCACAAGACCTTCGCAGATGCCCGTCGCTCCAACACCCCCACTTACCAACCAGGGGATAAGGTATGGCTGTCCACCCGGGATCTGCGCCTCCGTCAGCCGTGCAGGAAGCTGAGTCCCCACTACATTGGTCCGTTCCTCATACAGAGGCAGATCAATGAAGTCACCTACCTGCTACAGCTTCCACCCAGGTACCGCATTCACCCTACCTTCCATGTTTCCCTCCTTAAACCATTCTCTTTCTCTCACCAGGACCCCCCGAGCCGGAAGCACCTCCTCCAGAAATCCTGGATCAGCCGTCCATCTACCAGGTTCAGGACATTCTGGATTCGCGGCGACGGGGTGGCCGGCTGGAGTACCTGATTGACTGGGAAGGATTCGGGCCAGAGGAAAGATCCTGGGTGGCCCGGGATGATGTGCTCGACCCTACTCTGTTGGCTGAATTTCATCGAACCCATCCCGATCGTCCTGCCCCCAGAGGCCGTGGTCGCCCCCATCGCTGTGTGAGGGTGTCAGGAGCCGCCCCTGGAGGAGGGGGTAATGTCAGGGATTCTGCACCATCACAATCACTATCATCACCACAGTCACCAGCCCCGACGTACACCAGATCCCAGTCACCTGATTATTGATCACCCACACCTGCAGCCTGCAATCAGCACTCCTTTATAAGCACACTCCACTCAGACACTCATCGTCTGGTCTACAGTTCACTTACCCGATCTTACCAGACTTACTCCTGCTACTAACCTGTCTGTACTTACCCTCAGATGCTCCAGCGCTCTTCCGATCCTGTTCTCCTCGACTCCTGCACAAATCCAGATTACCCTATCACAGACTCAACACCGGTTACCTCAGATAAGAACCCAGAACCATTCCACTTGTCAATACTCACCATTCAAGCTGTTACTATCTGCAACTCATCCAATAAACTTACCTGTTATTTGCACTAATCCCTTGTCTCCGGCCTGTGTTGTGACATCGTCACGTTACAGTGGAGTGGTTGTTTATTCTCTTTGTGTATCCTCTATGTGTGGGTTAAAAGTATTCTCCTGTGGATTATTGGTGTCATGCGTGTTTACACCAGCGTGCATGTGACACTAACACTGGCACTCTCTATTCTATTTCTATTCTGTTAACTTGTCTTATTTTATTTATTATAAAAAAATTGACCCTTTAACAAAAGCATTCTCTTCTATTTCTATTCTATCTACTTGTTTTGTTTTTTGCAAAAATAAATAAATGCATAAATAATATGATCCTCTAACACTAGCTCTCCCTATTTATATTCTGTCTACTTTTTGTTCTTTAAAAAAAAAAAAACCTTGCTACGTGTACTGTGTTAGACTGACTGGGACTTGTCACAGCACTTAAATAATGTTGCTCTTTTGTTAGTTCGATTGCTTCTACTGTCATCATTTTTAAGATGCTTTGGTATCTAGGTATCTATTGTCACTACGGTATCTATAGCTCTATATTTTGCAAGGCTGAGGTGTTAATAGTTATCATTACTAATGGCATGCAGGTTGTCCTTTTTTGCAAATTTGCAAGTCCAACCAAAGTATTTTACCTTTCTTTATCTCTCTGCACCTGTTCTTCTAGCTCTCTCCTCAGTTCTGCTAGCCTCTCCATATCCTTCTTTCTCTGCATCTCTTGTTTCCTCTGTTTATCTGCATTGAACCTATTTATCTGAAAGAAAGAAAGTAGTTTATTAATACTAATGAAAGTCATTAGTATTGACTGTTTCAGATGAAAAATCATGTAGACATTTATAGATGAATAAATGTGTCAATGAAGATAGTATAAAGCTCTGTGTAATCTATTCCTTTCTCATAAACATCATTAATCAGTGACACAACACAGCTCTGTAGGACGTGAAGAGGAATAGGAAGTAGACAAGGTCACACACTCAAAATTCCCAACATAATCACACACAGCCTCACATTTATCAAGCTAATGAGCTGAAGTCATAGCCCTGGGGTTCCACTTTTTTGTTTTTACTAATGCTCAAACTGGAGTACAGTGGGTTTTTCAGAGTGCACCAATCAGTGATAATGTATTACCTCAAGGGACTCATAATGACATTAAACAAGCATTCAATAATGAAAATGGTGGATAAAAATGTATAACATATGTATATATATTTAAAAAAAGTTTTTTTTTTTTTTTCATTTTTATGTTGTCCATAATATGTCACATTACAGCGGTGAATGGTTTGGGAATGCTATTTTATGTTGACTTTAATTAATGATGACATCACCTGCTTTTTCAGTTGCGTTCTTCTAGTCTTTTCTCTTTGCTGTTCTTTCCTCAGTCTCTCCTCTTCCTCTTTGTACCAGTTAGCAGCAAGAGTAGCCTCCAACTCCGCAGCCTCCTCCTGCTGAATGCGCCACCGCTGCAGCTAAACACACACAGAGTGACAGGTGGCTTCAGCAGCAATTAGACAAGTATTTAGACAACTGAAGTGTTAAACTGGAAATATGTACACTGGAGATATACTTTTACTTTTTTTTTACTTTTAGTCATTTAGCAGATATACGTTATTGATCCATCAAAATACAACATAGCAAATCTCTCTGGGCATGCAGAACATCAAAACATGATTACACACTCAAATTAGACAAGCATACAGTCTTAAACACTCACACAGATGGAATAATAGCATGGGTTACTTGTTACTCCATACTGCAGACTATATTAATATATGTATAAAACAGTATATGAAACAGTATGCAAAATGCAACCATAAACAGTAGTATATGAGTGGCTGAGTGGTGTTCTTTTTATCATCAACAACACCTTAAGGCATGGTCACATTTGCCTTTGCATATTCTTTCAAAAAAAAAAACTTGCACTCTATTCATTTACTAACTGCTTGTTTTCTTAAAAAGAAAAACAACAACAAAAACCTTAGCTTCTCTAATCTTTTTGTATTCTATCTATTTGTTTTCTTTTTATTTATACAATTAACAAAAGCAAAAAAAGCCTCTAACACTAGCTTGCTCTATTCTATCTGTTTTCTTTTTATTTATTATATAATAATAATAATAAAAATGCTACGTGTACTGCATTAAGCTAACTGAGACTTGTTATAGCACTTGCATATCATTGCTCTCTTGTTGATTTTGATTGCTTCTGTGGCAGGTGAAGGTCAGAAACAGATCACACAACAGCAAGATAAATTTTACTCTATTGACGACTACGCCACCCCGTATTACTACCCAGGGAGTACAAATACAAAGCACACAGGTTCGAGTTTTGTCCTCAACAAAGGGATAATGAGACGTGGATATGAAAATTCACCAGTCTTTAATTTTAATACATTTTTATTAACAATAAATAGTTAAAAAGAAGAGACAGGTAATAGGCAATATTGGGTTCACAGTAGATGGTCTCAGACAGTAGCAATTAGCTGTGGCACAGAAGCAAATAAGCAGAGAAACAAACGAAAGAAAAAAAAAGTATAAATTAACCAACCCAAGGAACTGGGGCTCACCAGTAGTAAGGCAGGCTAAAGACTAGGCCTTCCAGAGGCCCACACTAATTTCCACACGTTCACAAAAAAAAAACAAATCCCACATTAGTGAAATCCACTCCAAAAATATAAGAAAAAGGAAAGCTGCACAATTTGAAAATGGGACTCCCACAGCCATTTTGCTGTGGCGCCCAGGAGCAGTTGGGGGTTTGGTGCCTTACTCAAGGTTCTCACCTCAGTTGTGGTACTGAGGGTGGAAGAGAGCACTAGTTATTCACTCCCCCCACCTACAATCCCTGCCAGACCTGAGACTCGAACCCGCAACCTTCGGGTTACAAGTCCGACTCTCTAACCATTAGGCCACGCAGGAAAGTACCTGACGGTGTCTCGACTTTCCGTACTCGACCGAAATTGAGCTGCTGGCGGCTCTCCTCTTTCTGTCTTTTTTCTTCACCATAGTAGCTGTTGATTACTGTATATGTTTCCCATGTTGTGCTTTTATTGAGTAGCTCATCCAATAACATAAATTAGTGATTAACACCAATAGCCTATGTGATGCGGCTGCTGGGCAGTCAATCCTGGTTGTGGAGTAAATGATCACTCTTACCTGAATGTTTTTCTGTCAGACTTGTGTAGGCCCAAGGTGTTTTTTTCTCTCTCTTCTGTTAAAAGCTGTTAAATTATTAAGCAGTGTCTCATGTAGTTTTTTCCCTTGTATTTTATGTGACCACTGGGAGGTGCTCTGGGTATATATTTTTCTTTCTTGGTTTTATTCCCTGGCATGATGTATGTTGCAAAGCGAAAGTAAAAGTTTCACACAAGTTTGTTGCGTTCTAACAGGAAAGAGTTCTATCTTTATTTAAAATCAGCACTTATTTTATAAAGAACACCGCTTTCTCACATAACACAGTGAAGCAGCCCATGCACAGAATGAATAATCGATTTTCAAGGTATCGATTTCAAACAATTCAGCACCACTGCCATGGACAGCACCTGGTAACGTCGCTCGTAAGGTGGTATATCTTAAGCAGCGTCCTAAGGTATAGTTTGGGGAACACGCCTAGAACAGGTACACCTTTAGTTAAGACATACCTTTAGAGTCTTCGTAGCACGCTAAGAGACAGCGCTATTGTGAAACGCAGACCTGTTTTCTTAATATGCACCCAGTCCTTTTCCTTGAATTTGGGTACCTTGGCTCCTCTCCTTTTGTCAGTATCCTCTTTACATTTCTGCTCTTTACGTGCCACAGTGTTTTTGTTCTCTGCATATGTCTTCACGTCTGTGCAATTATAGCCTTGTTAGGCTCCCTTAAAGGTGACCTATTATGCCCCTTTTGTCTTTTCAGTGCAGCAATAGCCGTAGTATAGGTATTGCCCGTGTCTGGTAAGGTATAAAACAGTCTTTGTCCTTCTGTGCTCAAAGCATGCAGAAAAACAGCTTGTTTTCTTTCCTCTGGCCATGCGTCACCAGTAGCAGCAATTACAAGAAGGTAATTTTCAAACATTTCGAGCCAGACAGTAGAAGTGAAGGCTCGCCAGGGCATGGCAGGAATGGAACCGGTAAAGGAAATGTAATCGACAACCTCATTGCCAATTGTAATATCTGTACTTTTGTAACAAAATAAAGAAGCAGGCACAGACATGGTTCTGTATTCTTTCACCTCTCTTCTCTTTACTTTCTCTTTTCTTGTCACTCACTGCCATCTAGTGACTCCTGCCCAGTAACATGTCCTTTTGTCTTGTGATGATATACATTTCATGCACAAATATCATTCCAAATTGACCTCTAAATTTATTAGGATGAGATATGATGCATAAATAAGGAATGGAAATTATATTTTCAGAAACTGGTGTGTCTCTCTTCTTCCCTTCTGTGTTGACGGTGTCCACTAAGCTATAACCACTTCCTGTGGACTATATCCCGCCAAGTGAGCGAGGGAGAGGAGTTAGTGCAGCTCAAACAAGTAAATCCAAAAGTGTGTTAATGAAAACACACAGCCCAATGAATGTGAAACAATACTCTTTCTTAAGAACGAGAAAGGTATTGAACTAGTGATTAAAAATATGTTGAAACAGCATTATTATCAAAACTCATTGGCCGTATGGTAGGCAGATGGTCAAAATTGGTGACTGACACAAGATCTGAGGAGGATCAATGACCTGATCATACCACTGTCACCAGTCGTACCTGATGTGGTAATTATAATGAATTCAATACTGCCTACTATGCATACATTTTATAATGTAATTTGTGCTCTGCTTTTTTCAGTGTTCCTTTGGCCAGAGAGACACAGTTGCTGTTTAAATTGACCTATACCTGGACACGTCTTTCTTAGGGCTATGTGGACTTGCATGCAATGATTTCTGCAACCGTGCACAAGGCCATCAGCACCATCAATCTCCCACCAACCACGTTTGCTCCAGTAAGCAGATGAACTGCTCATTTCAGCCACTTCAGCATAGGACTGTGAACAAGCCTCTATCATTGTTTGAAATGTGCTGGCAGAGACTGGGGTAACACTTTATAATAACTTTCATTTATAAATCATTAATAAACATTATATAATGCTTAACAGATCATTAGTTAATATATATTCGCATGGCTAGAAATATGAGATAATGTTGTTAAAGGGGCCATATAATGCTAAAAAGAACACTATTTTGTGTATTTGGTGTAATGAAATGTGTGTATGCAGTTTAAGGTTCAAAAAACACATTATTTTCAACATACTGTACATTATTGTTTCTCCTCTATGCCCCGCCTTTCTGAAACGCGTT